AAATTTTCATTACATGTAACTGCCAAACCACTGAGAATCATAGCCCAGCCAAGTTGACAAATCACCTTAACCATCACAGCCAACATTACTATCACCTCACAGCTTGACATTTGTTATTGCCAGACATACTTGCTTATTCAAGTGCAAAATAGAAGTTTTGCTATTGTTTCAAATGCAAATTGTTGGATAATGAAATAGTTGATGAGTGAGGAGGGGTGGTTGTGTGCCATGGATGGAGTAGATTCCTACTCACAGCGACCCTGGATAGGATTTCTTAGGCTGTGAATCTTTATGAAAGCAGCAAACCTCATCTTTCTCCCTCGGAACAGCTGCTGACCTTGCTGTTAGCAGTCTAACTCCTAGCCCATAACACTACCAGAGCTGTGCCAAGTTTCTTTACATCCTATAACTTATCTGTTCCTCCTCATGAGCTACCATTCTCCAAATCATAGATGCATGACTAGAAGAACATTCTAACCTCATTTTCTGCTGATCCAAATTTCCTCTTTTGAATGACACAGACTTCTTTGGATAGTCCTTCAGATTTTCAGGCCTTTCCTCTGCTCCTCTCCTCTCCTTGATGATATAGGAAAGTAGGGCTTACATGACCTCTTGTAAGATATATTGCTAAAAAGGCTCAGCTCCTTGAACTTTCTCTGGATCCTTTCTCTGCTGTCGAGGAAGTGCTATGGTCTGCTGTCTGCCCTAGTGACTTTTGAAGTGGATAGCTCTGGTGTTTTGGACATTGCGGCCAACACCAAACCTGTGATCAGATGTCCCTTCCCACTGCAGCTTCTACACTGTGTTCTATCCAATCCCATCCTATCCTGTCCGGGTCCTTATGCTCTCTTCATACCTCCTTCCTGAGAGTGTCCAGCAGATACAAGATCCAGAAGTGCTGCCTTCAACTCAGTTGTCCAGGTGCCGTTCTCTCTCAGGCCTGCACAGATGCTCTTGTTGGATATGGACATGTGAGGACAGGGTTTCTTAACAGCAGCACTATGGACATGGACCAGATAATTCTTTGTTGTGGACTGCTGTCCTGTTTTCCTTACTTTGGACATGCTAGTCTTTCAGACTAGAATATCTTCCCTTACATCCTTACCCCATTAATCTCATCTGCTTGGAAAATTCCAATTCTTCCTTTAAGACTGACCTTTCATCATCAGTTTTCTTGTAAATCACTTTATAACTACCCTAGGAAGTTTTGGATGTTCCTTCCTCAGTGCTTTCTTTGTTGTATTTTAACTCTTGATAAGATTTGTTGAAATTGCTACTATATATCTGTCTCTACTATACAGAGCAGAGCTATTTCTGTATATCTATGACACCTAATAAAAAAATCTATGCTCTTTTAATAAATACTGAATGAATTAACATCAACAAAAATAGATCATCGTTGGAGGAATGGATATATATGTTGTTGTTAAGTGCTGTCGTTGAGTTGGTTCTGACCCATAGTAACCCTGTACAGAATTTCCTGGGAACAGCTGCTGAGTTTGAACTGCCAACACTGCAGTCAAAACTGACCATGCATATGCTGAGTGAAATTAGTCAGTCACAAAAAGAGAAATACTGCATAGGACCACTACTCTAAAAGACTAAGGGAAAGAACCCATACTAAAGGG